GTGTGGGTGTGGGGTGTGGGTGTCGGTGTCGGTGTGGAGTGTGGATGAAGAAGAAGAAGAAGAAGAATACTCCGCCTTTCGGCTACATTGCGGTATAGGGTGCTGTTTGAGGACAGTTTTAAGAAGCCCGATATTTTCCTACATCTATTACTAAATGTAGCTCTGGACAGAAGACCGGCCTGACTCAGAGTTCTTCTCGCTTAATTTCTTAAGCTTTCCATACATACTGACTAACCTCATACTAGTCACAAGGGCTATTTAGTGTATGTCAACGACGTAGTCAATTTGTTATCGGATGGGTGGTCCGAGACAAAACAGCCGTTAGTGACTTGTCCAAGGTCATTCTATGACTGATGGAGCCGAGGTTCGAACACAATATCTTGTGGATATGTGTCAAACAACTTAACCATTTAGCCATACCGGCTCCCAATGAAAAAGAGAAGCCTGAAATAACTTGTATCAGTTTAGGTTCAATGAGATATCTATGAATGTTTGATCTTTCAAACAAGTACTTATTGTTTAATCGGATGTAGATTGTTCAGTAAAAAAAAACATTTGTTCAAGTCTTTTATACTTCGTGGATCGACGTTGACAATAAATGCCGAATTAGAAAGCACTCTAGATGCACTCCATAAACGGACCGGTGGTTGTTTAGATACTTCATAAACACATGTTCCCTCAATATCTCTATAGCCTAGATATAATAAATATCATTTTATTTCAGGATGAGTGGGTGTGGGTGTTTGTTCTTTCCTATCACGCCCACACATCGACATCTATACCCACACCCACCCTAACTTATATAGAAGCAACTAACTTGTATAAGTTTTGACCTTAGGAGTTATCACAAATATTCAAATCGATAATCAAAGCAAATAGTATATTAATAAGGTTAGCATGTTAAGATATATTCTGCTTTAATCCATGCCCATACTTTGCAAGCCATTTGAGTTCTTCACGAACTTTTATTTTTCCATGCCATGGATCATTCTCTAGATCGTGTCCTTCTTTTGGAAAAACTAATAATTGTACTGGAACTCCTAAACTTCGAAGTCCACGTTCTAAGATGTAGCTTTGCTGGGCATCAACTCGAACATCACCTTCGGCAGTAACTATATGTGTTGGTGTTCGTATTCGATCTAAACTATAAATAGCTGATTGATTTTGGTATGATTTTGGTACTTCCCATGGAAATCCTCCCATTAAATAATTGATAAGCACGGGTAAATCTATAGTACCACACGAGAGAACGCGTTCGATTGCACTTGAACCCGATAATGCAGCATTGAAACGTGTAGTTTGTGTAATTAACCAGTTTGTTAAAGTACCACCATAACTATAACCGCCAACATTCAGCTTATTTGGATCTACGATACCATCTTTGATTAGATTATCAACTGCCGACATAATATCTCTTGTTCGCCGAGATAAAGTATGAAAACGAATTTCGTTGACAAATTGATCACCATATCCTGTAGATCCAGAATAATTAGGCTCAAGAACTAACCAGCCTTCAACAGCTGCTATAGAAGCCCAATTATACCAATTTGCTTCAAATGCATTGAGACTGGCAGAATGTGGACCACCATGGATGAGAATAAAGAGAGGTAATTTTTTAAGTTCAAATTTTCCCGGTGGATAATGTAAAATTCCTTCGATTGCTTGATTATCTTGATCATTTTTCCAAGTGTACACTTTAGTTTTTGGTAAATCTCGTTGAGTAAATAGATTATTTTCATTTGTTATTGCATTCGCCGATTGAAGTTGATAAATATCATCAGCAATATATACTTCTTTCGGTTTTTCAAGAGACGAATAAACGAATGCAACTGCACGTGTCCGACCAAAAGGTGATGATGAAATAAGATGATAGGTACCATTCCATCCATGACAATGAATTGTACTATCCATTGATGATTGTTGTGTATAAATATGAACTTCTGTTCTCAGTTGTCCAAGTATATAAACACTGCCATCAGAATTATACGTGTATCCGAAAACATTACCAGAAAAATCTTTTGCTAAACGTTCAATGTGACCCGTTATTAAATCTAACGAATTCAAGCGACCTTGCAAATCAACAAAGTCTTTTTGATTATCACCATGACTGTACTGTCGAAAAATGATGTGTTTTCCATCCTTTGACAATGTTAACTGTGTTTCAAATAAACTGTTATTCGTCAATTTGAATATGGTAGTTGAATTGTGAAGATCGATTGAATATATTTCAAAATGTTTCATTCTATTCAGTTAGTGGTGATACTGAAGTAAATACAAGCTTTTGTAAAACAGAGCTAAATAATAATTCACCAATTAGAAAAGGAACATCTTGAATAGTGCTTATTTTCAAGGATGATATTTGATTTTCTGTTTCGAAAGCAAGACAATTAATTGTACTAACATAGTTATCAATGCTCTTTCGATAGTCAACTACATTTTTCCATTCAACTTGATCATCATCTGTTTTTCTTGTTTTAGTTGTAATAAAATAAATAGATGAATCATTATCGGACCATGTCAAAGTCGATGGCATTTCGTTTCCAACTAAAACTGGAAACATTTTCTTTGATTCAATTGAATACAAATAAATAAATTGTTGGTTTTTTTCAATATTTTCGAATGAACGTTGATAATGCTTATATCGATTTTTAGTACTCATTTTTGTTTGATCGACTTGTAAGAAAGCAATCCAATTTCCACTCGGTGACCATTTTGGTCTCGAAGAACCACCTGTATTTGTCACAATTAATTGTTTTTGTTTTGTGTTTATCTCATACAACCAACAACTAATTTCATAGGTACTTGAATTCCAGTTTGGTCGTAAGGTTTCAATAAGTAAGTATTCACCATTTGGCGAAAAACTCACAGATAAGAAATCTGTACAATCGAAAAACTCATCCAATGTTAATTGTGACTTTGTTGCAATTGACGAATATAATAATAGTTGCAAAAAGAATACGATACATACAAACATTATTTTCTATGATCTGAATAAACAACTCATGATCAACTTTGTTTCTGATATTGAATTCCATTTATGAATTGATGAAAGAGCAGTAAAAAAATTATGACTCTTGTTTATCTTTTATAGTTTACAATACGTATACGCCTTTTAAACAAAAACTTATGTCACTATATTTGTTTAGCTTCTTTAAAATATCTTTTCAAATAAGTGAATTTCAAATCATTCTGACTTTTAATTTGTTTATCTACAGTTTCATTTTTTTTGAACAAAATAACATTTGTTCCTTTCAGGAAAAATAGCGATATACACCATTCAACGCCAAGTTTAATTCTGGTTCACATGATTTTTGATTTCTCGTTGTCATATGATCTGGCAAAATTATTACGAAGTCTGAAATATACACGATGTATATAACATTCCATTTCCAATCAGAACCATGTGAAATACTTAGGTTGTACCAAATGTAATGTCGTCACTTCTGTAAAGTTTTACAGAGTACTTGGCAAATCTTTTCTTCTGTATATACTGATAGCACTAGTCATGCTTTACAATTCTACAATATTTGATAACTCTTCAGATTGTATTTTAATAAGAAAAGTATAGATATAATACAACGTGATTAGACAAAAAAAATATGTAAGTTATTTTGCACGATTTTTCCCATTTATTAATATTATATACAATGTGACACAGTGCCTTATTGGTCACATGTCTGTCCACGTGATTGTCAGTTGTTCAATGTTACACAGACATTCTAGAATTTTCTATGTACTTTTATCTTTCCGGTAATATCAAGATGTTCTTGCGCAATGTTCTGGAATGTTAAATTTCCGATACTATATACCCCGTGAGAAAAGTGTGAACCAGAACTAACACTGTTTTTGATGGGCAAGGAATATCTTCGCTTCCATATTAAAGTGCGCACTGCACTTCATATCGAACCAATAGATATTCATAGTGAATTATGCTCTGTTTCTGGTGATCAAGCTCCAACTCTCAGAACGGTTGAAAGATGGTCACAATCGTTTCGTGAAGGTGAAGAAGAAGTCGAAGACGAACTACGATCTGGAAGACCTATAAGTACGACAACATCTGCTAATATTGAAAAAGTTCGAAACCTTATTTATGATGATTCTTACAGTACAATAGATGAACTCTGTGTGCAAACTGGTTTGAGTCATGGTACCATCGAACGAATTATTTTTGATCATCTGAAACTGGAAATAACTACTGCATAATATGTTCCTCATTGTTTGACCGATTCTCAACGAGCTGAGTGGGTGCGAATATGCCAAGAAAATTTAGCAAAATTTGCACAAGGAACTTGAAGATTATGCGATGTGGTTGCAGGCGATGAATTCTGGTTTTATCGTAAACAAAGTGGTCGCAAATCCTCAAATGCTCCTTGGGTAGGAAGTGGGGATCCTCTACCGACATTAGTTCGACGTAGTCATTTTGATCCAAGAACCTTATTTTGTATTTTCTTTAAATCAACTGACGCACTCTCAATTCATTCTGTTGAACGTGGACAAGCTATTGATCACCAATATTACATCGATAATTGTTTGCAGCCAGTTATCGACGATATCAGGAACGGACGACCCATCTTTGGTACTCATGAAATTAAACTTCACTATGATAATGGGACACCATATTTTCATAAAGATGTATTAGATTATCTTGAATCGGAGGGGATAACAATAATGTCACATCCGCCTCATTCGCCTGATCTGGCTCCATGTGACTTCTGGTTATTTGACTTGATAAAACAACATCTTGATGATTATGATGACTCCGAAACTTCACATGAAGCTGTAACTAATTTCATGAAGTCGTTGAAAAAAGAAGAATACAAAAAGACTTTTGATAAATGGATTCAACGGATACAATTATATGTGAGCAATCAGGGTGACTACTTCGAGCATTTGATGAAATAACATTTGATAAACTGACTTACATATTTCTTTTTGTTTAATCATGAGTATTATTTCAATACTTTTCCTATTACAATATAATTTGAAGAGCCATTAAATATTGTAGAATTGTAGAGCATGACTTGAACTATCAGTATATACAGAAAAAAAATTTGTCAAATAGTCTGTACAAGTTTATAGAATCGGCGATATTACTTTCGGTACATCGTAAGTACATGGAAAAAGACACGTGACAAATCAAACCTGTTTTTATTC